AAATTTGGTTTACGTATTTTAAAATATTATTTTCTTTCATATTATTATTATTAATAAAAATATTTCAAATTAAGATTAATTATATACTAACAATATTATATCATGTAAATGATGGTCTTGTTAATTAAATTAATATTATAAGAATGATGATATTAAAAATAACTTGCTTAAAAGGTGATTGTGTTAAGCGTTAGAGAACATTATAATGAAACAAAAATTAGAAAATTATACATAAGTTACATTAATATTGTTATAATTTAAAAATAAATTTTTGACACTAAATATTGAACACAGATTTTATTCTTCTTTATTCATTAAGTGACATTTGTGAAATTCATTGGCCTATTCTGAGGCAATTTATTACTACTCCGTCCCAACTGTTGTCCGATAATTTGTCCGACTTAAATTATTTGTTGAGTTGTTAGGTCAACTTTACATTTATTGGATTTGGGTGGAGGATATTTTTTGATTAAGAACGAAAGGGTTAATGTGGTTAATGTCCGATTCTCGCCCTTGCTATTTTGATTTGGATCGTCTTTTGGAAATTTTGAGGAATTTATATTTAGCCATTTATCAATGCTTTTGTTTTTAGCCATTATGACTTTTGAGTTTTTTGGTGAATGAAATAGAATTTCAATACCCAGATTTTCTAATCAATCATCGATTTTTGATTGATGGGTGGTCTAATGACATTGACTTGCATTTCAGTGATTGTTGGGTAAAGGATTGTTCTAGTCACAAGAACAACCATGTAATTACCAGTTATACCTAGGTGTGATTGTACTGACTACTGACATTAATTCTATATCCTTTGGGTTGGATTTAATTAATTTTGAATATTATGAGTAATTATTTAATTTGCCGAAAAATGATTTTGAAGTTCCGGAAAAGAGAGTGAGTTGTTGACTTGTTTATGATTAAGTAGTGCATAAATTGGGAAAAAATAAAAGGTAGATGCAAAAGTACAAAAAAAAATATGCATACCTACCTCAATATTTAAATGGCTTATTGATTAGGAATTAGGATACAATATTATATAGACGAGGTGTGTATAAATATTTTTAAAAAGAAGTGGGACTCCGCCCCTTACACCATTTCTAAATTTCAAGCACTATATAATATGATGAGTGTATATTTAATTTATTCTTGTTCGTTAATTTTACTGGTTCGTAGCTGACCTAGTATTCTACTGGGGATATGCTAATTTCTGGAGTAAGTTTATGCTGAATAGTGTGGTTTCTTAAAGAACACTATAACTGTGTCAATTATGGTGCATCAGTATATATTTCTATTTTAAGTTGAAAAACGATTCTAGGGTAATTGTATAACCAAGAGGTAATAACTTTTGGATTTATTTCGTGTTTGTTGTACATCAATAACCTACTCAAGGTATTGAGTTTTACTTAGCAATGCCGAAGTGAATATTTTTGAAATCTCCTTATTGTCTCAACAAAACATTTGACGTGGGACTAAAAAACTACATTTAATAATGAACTTAATACAATTTTGTATGGCATAATTAGTTCTATACAAACTTCGTATTGACAAAACTATTTTTGTTCTATAACTCAAAACGATACCGAAATTGTTGTATTAACTCCTTAACTACTCAGTGGAAAATATAATAATATAATTTAATTATTATGAAAATTCAAACATTTCATTAATATTATCACTACAAAAATTTAAAATCTATATCTATATTTTTGTACCACATGACTAATGAACACCATACATTAAAATAGTATGGGTACCTACACATACACACATAATATATTTTAAGTTTTGTTGTTGGATTAATAGTATGTGCTAATGACAGGTAATCGTTGGGCTAATATAAATGGGTTATCACTGATCTATAATAAAGTATTGTTTAGCCATCGTGTTATGTTGTGTTTTACACAAGTATGAACTCATTATATTAATATTAAATCTGTTTAAAATGTGAATTAAAATAATACGTTTGGTTAAATATCGGTATCTATTATTATGAAAATGTATAGACTGTTATCAGTGGCAGAATGACAGGTTTTACTGTGAATAAACGCTTTGAACTTTAATCTAATAAAAATATTAGCAATCATACATAATAGGAAAATGATTGAATATATAAAATATAGATTGTGTGCAAAATGAAAGAGTGATGGAATTAGAAAGAGAGAGTTAAATGTTTTCTTTTTGTACACACAAACATTGTGCATAATATAAATATAAATATAAATATAAATATAAAAAGTTAGTGTTCTCTTTAATCACCCTATATCATGATATAAAATTCAGATATAATTAGGTAACGGTCCAGTTTTTGGTTCTTCAGTTTTATCTGTTAAAGAACTGATGAAACCGGAGATTATTGAATAAAATGTAATTATTTATCAGTGACTTTTTTCATTTTTATACACAATAAATTGATAAATTATGTGTTATCTGGGGTAAATAGTATTATAATATCATATGTACAAGTTTTTCATAGTAAATTTGTGTATATTATTAATTATCCGAGTATAACAAAATTAAAATCGATTTCCTTACGTTTTCGAAAATGGAAGGCATTATTTGTGGAACCAAACTAGTATCGGTATCAATCATTTACCTGTATATTCCTAGTTATATTAATATAAAAGTTTATGAACTATAGGTAGTATGTTTTTAGTTTGAAGTTTATTTACAAATCAAAATAATGGTCCATCACTTAATAGGCTAAATTGTTTACAATATTATTTTTACACATATGAAGAATGAGGTACCTATAATAAATTATAGGTACCTTATTATTTACAATTATTGTTATATTTCTATAAACAAAATTTCAGAAATTGACATTTTGTAGGCATGCTATTAAGATCATTGTTATTGAATTTACATTTGTTTACTCATATATTATTATTATTATTATTATTATTTTGAATAGATATTCATTGTAAGCCAGTGCCCAGCATGGATCTCAATCCTCATCTCAACTATAGAGCGAGTGGACATAGGCTTGGTCAGACGACATACTTCAACTGTCCACCTGGATTTTTCTTGAAAGGTTCAGCAAATATCACCTGTCTTCCTTCAGGTAAGTCGATATTATTATGACACCAACCACTGAGTAGTGGGTAATGATGTAGAATCTTGCTACTAGTAGCTGAGAAGTAAATCGTGTCACTAATTGTCTTTTCTCGTTAAAATTAATACAAGTTATTTAAATGTTTATTTAAACACTAAATTGAACAAATAAAATAGATTTTATATGTATAAATCCAGTGTTATTTTATGAAATAAAATAGTTGTTAGTGTTTCCAGATTCACTTAATAAAAATAGTTTATTGATAAATAACTTCGATAAAAATATAGAAGATAAAGTAATATATAGAAGATATAGAAGATATAAGTCAACAAAGGATTCAAATTTGATATTTCTAAGATATGTGCATGATTCAATCATAATTATTATGTTGCATACTTAGGCATTGACGTTTTGTCATTTATTTTGTAACCAACTGTAATATAAACATTTTTCATTAGAAAGTTTCCAAAAAAAATATCTTGACCTGTACAACTTTGAACTAACTTTTCTTAATTTATTTGTTTTAAAGTCATGATCTTTGTACTTACATTAAAACTGGAAATGAAGCATAAATAAGTAATACGAGATTTATTTTTGTATAATATCATAATATATAGATTTATCTCATTAGTTATTTCACTTAAATAAAATAAAAGGTTAGGTACTTAGACATATTATTTATACAGATTGTACGCTTGTCTTAAAATAATAAATTTAAATAGGTACCAAATATGTTTAATAAGTACAATTAAAATACAATTAATACCTCATTACAACGTGCCAATGTTAAATCAATTTAAAAATATTAATTTAATACAGAGCCAAGAGATGTGTTGTCTCGGTGTTACAAATTGCAAAGTATAACATAGCAAATTTTCGTTCAGAAGAACCGAATTTAAGTAATTAGAAGGTAAATTCACTCTAGTGAATTGATTGTGTCCACAATACAAAATTGGTTCTGCTGACCGAAGATTTGCTATGTTAGTATGTTGTAAGATGGATATATAGCATGTGGGTATACCACCGTCTTACAGTGGCGTATTTACGGGGGGGGGGGTCAAGGGTATCAAACCCTTTGATCCCCAAAGTGTCATAATGAGTTACATATATTAAATTATAGTGTGCGTGATTACTGATTGTAGTAAAAATATATGGTGACTAATAATAACATATATAATAAGACTAATATTTATTATTTTCTTTCACTAAAAAGTATGTACTTAGTTATTTTTGTCCAGCGTAAGAAATAGTTAGTTATGAAGTGAAAATAAATCTGAAAACATATTTAAATTTGTCATGAAGTTTACTTGAGATCGATCATCCAGTTTTTTTAAATTTTGTTTCAATTCCAAAATAGAAGATTCTTCAGTTATTACATTTTAAAATCAAATTAGAGGGGAAGATCTTATCGTAATTCGTAAAAGTCGTATTATCCAACTGAAGTAAGCTTCACAACAAACTCAAATATGTTTTCAGATGTCTTATCACATAACTCGTTTTATCGGTATTAATTTATGATGTATAAACGATGGGTGGGTGGTATGTTTTCTTTATAAATACGTTCGGCATCAAATCCCCTTAAGGCTATTATAATCTTATATCATATATTTAATATTTATAGCTTAAAATGAAAAGGGTCTTTCATAACCTTTGAGAATCGTGAACTCTTAGTATGCTACATTGCTACTGGATTAATTAGTTTTGTTGTTGCTGAAGTTTTGAAAGTTCACTAGCTATGGTATCGAAACCTTATTCCCTCATTCAGATTTTAGGGTAGGTGTAAAATGAAAATAATAATATGTATTTGTATAAGATAAATTATTAGTAAACTAGATAAGTTATTATTAATTGTAGTAATTTTGGTTTATTCAAATCTTTATTATGGTTTCCAATTTTAATATAGATAAAATATTATACTTGAAGCAACATAAATATCACGAAATTTTATATTTAGATAAGTTTTATCGTTTGTTGACATTTTATGGTTTATTGCTTACACAGGTCAACAAAACACCAAAGATTATACGTTGCTGTCGGGATATACGAGTACCTACATTCCTTAATTTTTTTTCCAACCTGCAATAAAATAACCATATCCAAACGACCATTATACACCCTAAAAATTATAGTGAAATTGTATTTTCACGATTATTAATTGAAAGTGATTAGCAGTTCTAGAGTCTCTAGGGTAAAAAAACTATCCTTTCCTCCGAGCATAATGGTCAGTAATTAAACTAGGGAACATCCGTGGATTAACGTGGGCCCAAAAGTGTTGGAAAAAAAATAAGAAGAAAAAAAATCGTTTCAAATTAAATTAGATTTTATCTTCCTTGCAGTATCAATTACTGCACGGAAACGTTGGACAACGTATTCCGTCGAATCTGATAGGCTGTGGAAACTTCCATTTCTCGGTATTATAGCACAGCATTAATGGTTTAATTAAAACAATTATTTCGCTCTGGTTCTTGTCATTCTAATGGTATGATTGTAGAAAAAATACACTTTTGACCTTTATAACAATTTATGAACACTCGCTTTTAAGTTTCACATACAATTTTTTATGTAAATATTTTTATTTTATTACCAAACGGTTAGCCGTAGCCCGGAGTACAGCACAAAATATGGATACACCTACACAAGAAAAATATAAGCTATCTAGACATTGTTTACACGATATTAACAGAAAGAAAACGACGGGTCCTCATTAACAGTATACGCATCACCATGCAGAGCATAGGTCAATTACGAGAATAATTGGTCGTGCTAGGGGTATCAAAAAAAAAAAGGTTTTTTTGTGACTGGAAGGTACAGATTTCGAAATCAAGTTGACTTGATAATACAGCTTAAAGGACAGTCTATAGAGCCGTTAGTGAATTATAGCGTTGAAGCGTATCAATGCATCATCATGTATCGTGTATACATCGATGATGATCGTAAACAATAATAGTAATAAAAATACTAAAAAAGTTTCCCTCGAGTTACCTGACTGTCTTGATGTCGCAGAACAAAAATAGCGCACGCAAAGACGACGCACCCGTTTTCGTTTACTCGTTCACGCGGCTCGTTAATTATTTAGGGAATCGGTCGGGAAATGTTTAAAATGGACTCGGGCTGTGAGTATAATATGCCCACAACGGTAGCTGTGAGCTCACTCGAAACTTTCAGAAACAATAAGTTTCGACGCTCCAAGCGAGAGGGCACACACACACACACACACATGGACTTTCTGGGCAACGCTTACTTCGGGACTGCCGTTTACGATAATATATCTACGCGTATACAACGTAATAATATTATATTAAATTGTTATAATAATTTGTGACACGCTAACACTTGCCCCTGAGTGGATGATCGTTCGCGTGTTCTGATAGCAAAACGTGTTTTGTTAATTTCAACAGAGCTCCGTACTCGTTATCAAAAATAGGGGTGAGCCTAACCTAAGATTGTAACAATATATTATAAATATTATTATTTTTATTCGAATTATTATCGTGTAGATACCTACCTAACCGTGATGTCGGTTTTTGGCGGTACAAAATAATACTTATGTCTTTTACTTTTACATATTTTATTCATGTCAAATATGCATAACTAGCTTATGTTTGTATACAATTAATACAAATAACTGATGAATATAATTTATATTTAGTAGGTAGGTGCATTATATAATTGATCAATAACACTTCAAATTTACAATAACTATAATAATATTATACGAATAACAAAAACAAATTGTTTTACTTAATGTTGTGTTTTATAAATTAAATAATATAAATTTAATAGTAATATCGAATAATCGTGGTTGATTATTCTAAATACATTAATAATCTGAGGTCATGAACCCCATCTCATGAGCATTTTCCCGATTCGATTCACTGTCTCCCTGAACCTTATAATATTGTTCCCAACGTTTATGTTAGGTGTATACATTTGTATCACCGCCAGCAGCCACATTTTGGCCACCAAGCCCTTAAATACAATTAATTATGCTCTTCTCATTCTCACTGCGTTTAACGTTTTATTGATGATGCACAATATATATGGACACTGCGCGGATCCCATTACTCACGTGCTGTAAACGCTAACTGTTTTTTTTTCTGATTTTTCTTTTCATCCTGCATATTGTCCCGCACGACATACACACAAAGAAAACAAAATCCAGGACTATGTGGTGAGCTGTCCAAGGCTTTTCAGACAAACCAATGTGGCTGCGTTTATTTCCTCCCTGAAATGTTCATGACAAATATCTCCAGTCTAGATGCCTTTCCCTGGTAAAATTTTATCAGGATATATTTTACCCCAGTAACGTCACTAAAATATTTACCGTGAGCTAACATTTTAAAAGGAGGAAATATTCACTAGTGACATTTAGCCGATCCTGTAGCTACAAAGAAGTAAATACTCACTAGGTACTGCAGTGGCACCCAGACAGATTATCAAGTACTGCAACTGCATGTGCTTTCCAAATAAATTATTACTGATGTCCCAGGAACGTTTATTTATTAACTATAATAATTAATTTCTATGGACTTTAAGTGGTTAATGGTTTATTTAAATACTCAATCACGTAGACGTTAAAGCCATTATGAAATATTTAATGTTAGTTAAAAATATATTTTTAATTACATTTTTTTAATAAATAAAATAAGGGTGGTGGGTTATTCACTGTGGGTATACTTTTGTTAACTGCATATGCTCACAAAACACATCTGTGAGCCAATATTCACTAGGTGATATTTTTTAGGTGGAAAGGAGGGGGGTAAAATACCATTGAGGTACATTTTCCAGGTTAAGATTAAATTACGTAATGGTGATATATTTATATTTTTATAGAGTTCTCGCATCCCGTAGGAGATTGTGTTGTCAATTTTTTGATTTATTAAATTAAATTTTTTTATACAATGTATACTGTAGAGAAGTGACCGACGGATGGCATATGATAGTACACCTTAAGTTACGAAAAAAACCCCTTTAAAAACATTAAAGGGGGTCCAACTTTTTTGATTCTA